TGTGATACTTCAGGGCAATCTCAGTTAGGAATATCCAGCAAGAAAGGCATCTTACTTGATGAGGAAGTACCACTCGTTTTCGCCCCGGGTACTTGTCAGGGAAGGAACTATTTGGCGCGGCGCCAGCACGTTCTCCAGCAACTGCTGAAGCGGGAAGGAGAGCGGCGGCCAATTAATGGACAAAAGAGCTGGTGCCGCGTCGAACATAGTCCTCCTGATACGCTCCAGCGTTTGCCGCGAAATAGATGGTATAGCCACGCCTTCTCCATGTCCGGGATATGGAGTGTATACGTTGTGGGTGTTAATGAGTTGTGGTCTCTCAAAAAAGTCGTACCTTTCCAATGCCTTTAGGATCTGGAGGTTCCGTTTGGTGAAGGGCAAGTTGTGCCAAAGCGGCTGTCGCATCGGTGTCAGGTAGTACGTCAAGATTCGCCCATTGTTTTAGACGATCTTCTCCAGCCTGAACAAGCAGAAATTGATGAGCAGAAGATGAAGTGGCAGAACGAGATAGGACATCAATAGCAGAGTAGCGAGAAATGGATCCAAAGTGCTGACCAGTTTGACTAAACAAGCAGGGGTTTCATCCTTCCAGTATAGAACAGAATGTAGCGAGGTCAGCGTCGACGCGGCATTGATGACGCCTATTCCTTGAAAGTCGTGGGTGGAGGGCTTAAATGCGAGTTTGTGGGCGCAGTAAACAATAAAGCAGAGAAACCCATCGAAAGGGCCCCGAATGAACTCGGATGGTGTTCAGCAGTGGAGGCAGGGTACAGAGTACGGTTGGAGATCTCACGCGAGCGGGGTCGTATTTGATGGCTGTAGGGAAGAGTACCCTTGCCTTTTCAAAAAATGGTCTTGGTTGTTTATTTTATCGGTGTTTCCTGTTCCAAGAGCGCTGTATTCACCGCCCCCACCTCTAGACAAAGGAAAAGGTGGATAGTTGGGTGCATCCAAGAAGGTCATAGTGTAAATGAGAGATAGGGAGAAGGGGGCGAACTTCTGAGGGGGTTGGGTTTGCGAAAATTCTGCCCAGGACGAACCCGATTGAAGGAGCATGCGGAGAAGCAAGGGCGGTCAGTGCGCGGCCGAGAGACCTAGAAACCGTGGGCGGGAGTGCCACAGAAACAAAAAAATGGACATCTATACACTATGGATGGGACCAGTAATCAGACTCGATTCACAAGCCCGTGGCTTTTTATCCCGCAAAGCAGGATATCTGCGACTCCGGACCTGTCAAAGTGGTGGAAGACTCTGCTTGTTACAGGTGTATCAGATCATGATCCTGCAAACGATAGTGCGTGTAAGGAGGGCGTGGCTTGGGCGCAGTCAAGAAAAAGAGTGGGTGCGATGGGAGTTAGTAGTGTGCGCCATCGAAAGGATCGTAAAGCGGTTTTCGCCATGGTGGGAAGAAGTCACCCTGCAGGTCCTCATCCGCTCGAGCGTTTCACACGCGTTGTCATGCAGGATCATGGACTATAGAGTGAGGAGCTATAAAAGATTGATTCGAAGTGTCTTAAAGGGTTCATGTAATTTTGCCCATAGAGATCACAGTGTAATAACATGTCTCAGCACTTTTTATAGTTTGAAAATCTTGTTCGGTGCAAAAATAGCAAGCTCACCGAAACAGTATAATAATTCAATCACTCGATCCCCTTTAATGACGCTAAAGGAGCGATATAACTGGACTTTGGGTTGACGGCGACGCGCGCTCATGGTGGGCATACGCCGGGTCAGGCTAGACGGTGGCTACATGACCCTTCCAGAGTCCGAGAGTCCTGACAGGGCGTTGTGTAGGGAAATGGCGAAAGAACGGAGTGAAACGGTCAAAATCCTGCGAAGAAAAAGCCTCCGTTCTCAGTGACTTGTAAATCGATTTCGGACGAGTTTCCCGTAGGCATCTTACCAATCACCGCTACCGAAGATACGGCTGCATATGTGTACCCATGTATGCATGCAGCATCACGGCCGCTTCATACCAATCCCTTCGCTTCATAATTTGCTTAGCAAATGAATGAATACGAGCGTCAGGAACGGTCGTCCATTTGTGGGCGGGCGGGCGTGGCGGGCGTTTGGGATGTAAAGTTGTGGCTTGATAGGGCCCTTATAAGGCACCATTTCTGGGGCGGGAAAACCGCTATGCAGCGCCTGCCCAGGGTCGCGGAATTCTATCCTGCCAGGAGTATTGATCCTAGTCGTCTTGGGGGATTTATCGTGCCAACTGCCTTTAAGGGTGCCTGAGCCCCAGTTTTCGCCGAGGTTCTTTGTGTCCTGCTTGGGTGAAACTTTTCCACACACTTCCTACTTTTGTGGCAACGTTCACGATCTCAAGGCCTTCCTTGGGCCCACAACTAAGAGATTTACAATCAAATAAAAAAGAGACGTTCAAGAAGCATTCTTCATGCTCTCAATATCGTAGAATTTTTCGCAAGGTCCGCATAAAATCGAAAACAAGTTGACAGCACTCAAAGGCAGTGGGCACAATGTCTGGCGCAGGCGGTTACATTCAACGTTATTGGTGGAAGGGCTGAGTGGGTATGGCCAAACGCCTTCTCCCAGCCCATCCACCAATAGCGTTCGCCTCCCCCCCTTCTCCCCTCCAACTCCCTCCCCCCAGCAATCGTGCCCATTTCATGTAAGCTACAGTAAAGACCGTGTCAATAAAGGCATGGCCGCATAGAAGACAGGGCTATAGCAGGCTATAGCAGCTACACAGGACGAGGTGAGACAACATACCACGGATTGCTTGCGGACGTCTGTTGTGCTTCTTCGAATGGAATGTTGCGTCGAGCTTCCCCGTAGGCTCGGTAGGCGAACATTTATCGGAAGAGCAGGAAAAGGTTCAACAATCACTGCAAGGAAAATGTTAGAAAGTTTTAAGAACAGCGGAACTTACTGATACAATGGCCTAAGTACTCACCATCAGGGTAGTTGTCGTAGAGAGATGTTTTACGCTGTCGATCCCGCCTTTGCTGTATTGTCGCTTGACGATCGTAAAGAGATATTTTACGCTGAGAATCCTGGGTCCGTAGCGTTGTCGCTTGACAGCCACTTTTATCAGCCCAAGTAGATAGTGCTACTTAATTAACAAATTGACTATTCCAAAGTATGAAACAGTCGAATATGTACACTAAAAGAGTACGAAAAGCTGGAATAACGTGGGCCTATCTGAAAGCCAAAACTGAAGAGTCGTCTCCATGTCTCCAAGGGCACTTGCACATTCACTCCCCGTGGATCCTGGTCCCGGCTACGTGCGAGGTAAATGGGCGCGCAGCTGGCAATAGTGTGTCACTTTCTCAGCTTAAAAGTGCATGGAAACGGGGCTGAAGGGTAGTGGTACCCAAGTGGCATCCCGGACTCCGCTCGCGCTGGAACACGGCCGGTCACGCGACCATAGACAAACGCGCTATTTGCCTGCACCCTCTCACTTCTTGTTGTTCTCCACCTCTGACGGCGGGTTCGCGGTGGGATTCTGCTATCGACGCTACTGCTCCATCTTATAGATAGCGCAGGCTAAGTTGCAAAACGCCAGCTCGGAATCACTACCCTCCAGCACTGTTCCCGTCCCTTAGCGCGGAGAACGCGGCAGACTACTGCTGCTGCGGATCCATTCACCTCGCACATAGTAAAGACCGCCTAGAAGGTGGATAGGTAGATATACAACTTGTTTTGAAGGTGCTGTTCACAATCTGCGACCCTGCGGTATTGAAGAAAAAAGCGCTCTCGCGAAAAGCCTCTGATACGTATCGATAAAGAGAATCAAAGATTTCAAAACGCCCCTCTCTGCTCATTCCCTCATGCAGAGACAGCGAAGTCAATACGTATCCAACCCTTTCGAGATGGCCCTCAAGTGAAGAATGGGAGAAAGGGCGAAGCTAGCTATCCGCCCTAGCTTCGCCTGTCCTGATCAAAGCACTTTTGCGGATGTGCCAAACGTGCCGCCGAGGGCCCGCTACACTACCACGTGCACACAGCAGACTTTATTGAAATCCCCTCCCCAGATAGTCACGCCCCTTTTTGCCTTGAATTTAATTTACCCTTGTATTACATGCATAATGCTCCATAGATTCTAGTTACACACTGTTAACAGGAATTGGTAGAATTTTGACATCGTGGGGATCTTTACCGCCTCATCTCACTTTCTTCAAAGAAGGATTTCTCATCCACTGACGTCTCTGAATCTTCGTGGAACAGTATGTTGAATATAAATGGTTGGAGCCCCGTGAAGGGGCAAAATCATTGCTATGCCAGCCATTGACTGTAAAAAAAGAACAGGCTAGAAGTGTGGAGATGTGGCACGAATGCCAGTTGGATGACACATCTATTGCCTGATGTGTTTTTCCACAGCAGATTGCGGTCTCAGATGAATCACATGGAACATTCAAGAACAGAATATCCAAGCAACACTCACATGATTTCTGTGTGTCCCCGTTCATTTTGTGGACCATCAAGAAGCAGAAATGGGGAGGAAGCAAAGGAAAACCCTGAAAATGTTCAGTATAATGCTAATCGCCCCGGCAGAATGCTGGGGCAGAAAGAAAAGCCATTTGAAATGCAGGACAGTAAATAAAGGGTTTCAGACGAATGGCAGAGCAATCAAATGGGTGCTTTTTCCTTGGAAATGTTATGCAGCTATCCTGGCATCGACCAGGAAGAACAGGGCCAGAAGCCAACAGTGGATTTGCACCGATGCATTTGAAATATTGGGTTGGCCCTTAGGACATGACAGTCCTCCTAAGGCGTATGCAAATTCATGAAAAAATCCCTTTAACCTCAAGAAATTCTATGTTAAACTGCCTAGAATGCTTCAATAAATTACTCACCAATGGGCGCTGTTCAGCTTGGAGGGGCTTTTCACACTTTCACAAGTCCCCCTTACCAGTTCATTCAAATAACAGGTCTTACTTGGGAAAACGCGTAAACTCTCGTGAAGATGCGAAGAGATTCAAGTGAGTTACAATAGTTACAGGGATGCACAAGATGGCCTTCACGGGCTTCTCTGATAGCGATTTACCATTATGTGTCCCCAATTGTGCCCAAAGTGTTATCCTCTAAGACGAATCTGAGTAGAAGGCTTGGTTGACCTAGACGGGAGACGATGCCGGCTTTTGATAACCAGACTATGTACGTGGTAAGCGTGCCACTTGCCTCTACACCGCATTCCGGCCCACCATCCTCCCCCAACAGGTCAATCAACAATAAGCAAAAATTTTAAGCTGAAAAAATCGGCGCAGTTTGGTTTGGTGGGGGCATTGAAAAACACTCAGCTAACCTTTCACAAACCACCTGGTGATGACCTGTAAACCTCAGCAAAGTGCCTTACTCGAAAAATTTCGCTGCTTCTCAGGAGTTTACAAGTCTCCTGAGAATGAGACTTGTTTCCACACATGAACTAACAAAAGGAACTAGCGAAAGTGCAAAATGTCCCTTCTAACCCGAACAGCGCCAAGAGTCCTCTAATGATGGGCCAACCCAATAGATGGCTTATTTTGAATATAGTACCCTTCAAGCTTTCAGAACATTCACGATCAATGATTAGTAAGGCGATCAGCTGCGAAAAAAAAGTGGAAAACCCAAGCCGTGTGAACTTTACAATGACGCTTTCCAGGCATGAGAATATGAATAATCGGTGGATCGATCGAGAAGAGAGAACGAAAATACTTGGAGAAGAAAACACATTTCTAGACATGAGAAACTGGTCTTGAAACTAAAATGAGAAAATGGGACAGAAAACAGCTGTCTAAAAGGAGAATTGATCGAAGGAGGGGGCGGGGGTAGGCGAACAGAACCACTGACTGGTAGAAACAGGGAGCAAACGGAGCTGTTCAAGGGAAAAAGGCCCATGGAGAACAAAGGAAACACGGCAGAGCACCGCTGGGAGACTCCCATCGAGCAGGGGTGGCAAGCGTAGTTGGTCGCTGAAGAGGGGGCCGTAGTGGTCAGTTGGGGTCGTCCCTGCACTCTAAAGAAATGGTTCCGTGCCGCGAGAATTTTTCCATTTGTTAAATGATCACGATTTCTGCCGTTTCACGTGCGCTAGATCATCCCCAGTGGCGGAACTCTGCTATGCTGCAACTACCCCAAACAGGGGACATTCACCAGCAGGGGAGTCTTATTCGACCGCTAGAGGAGAGTGGGGGGAGGGGGTGGGTTTCACTGTTTACCTGAA